GTGCGGTCCGCCTTGCTCTGATGTCATGCTGACGTGTATCAAAAAACTCTAGCGACCGCAAGGCGCACGTGTCGGATTCTGCAGTCGCGCAGTTGCTCTCCACCGACTGCGCTGATCAAAAGCATGATGGGAAACGACTTGCTGACGGCACAGCTTAATGCTCATTGGTTTAAACAACCGTGATGCCGGCTTGCCTGCGCTTTTTTCACTCCTCCTCTCACTGCAGCCGCCTACTCTCGACTACATTTCAGGCGAGGCAAGGCGCATCTCAAACAAGCCTATTGGCGCCCTTTGTTTAGTCACGAGGCGTTAAACGTCGGCGAATATCGCGCACGAAATTCGTCCCGGTGTGAACAGGCCTTTAATGTGCACATTAGAATTCACACTGGAGAAAAGCGTTTCAGTTGCCTTCAGTGTGGAAAGAGTTTCCAGTTCAAAGGAAGACTTGATATGCTCATAAGAATTCACACAGGAGAAAAGGAAGGAGTTTCCAGTGTAATAGGCACATGCACATTCACAATGAGAACCCTTTCACCTCTGCACAGTGTGGAAAGAGTTTCACAATGAAGGAAGGCTTGAAACGTCACATGAGAATTCATATCGGAGAGAAATCTTTCAGCTGCTCTCAGGGAAGAGAAACCTCAATTCACACATGAAGATTCACACTGGAGAGCGATCTTCAAAATGTGTTCGGAAAGGAAAGAGTTTCGTTTGTACAGGCAAACTTACTCGTGACACAAATGTTAATATTGAAAAGAAATCTTTCACATGCTCTCAGTGGTTTAACATCAATTTTATCAAGCGACGCAAGTGTTTTGTTTGCACAAATAACATAGTTTACCACTTTACTTACGAAAATATTGACCTCCAACCCAGTAGGGGGAGAACCACGACGCATGAGTGTTGTGTCGACTCGAAAGGCTGACGTTGTTCCGTGAACGCACTTTGGATAATATTATTTTGTAAATAAAGCTGTAAATTTAGTTTTTTTGCGCAAGCAAAGCACTCGCTTCACTTCATAAAATTGGAAGTTAAACAACTGGAGTCGCATGGGTTACTTTGAAGATGTCTTTAAAGACTTTTTTAAGTACCAGTGACTTGAGAATCATAGAGGACAAAAACCTTACAAGTGCTCATATTGTGGACGATTTTAACCTATTAAGGATAACTGAAATGTAAACATGAGTACTGAAGAGAATCCATACCGCTGTCCTTCGGTCAGTTTGCGATATAAATGTTGTGTCGTTCATGTGAAATTCAGTAAAACTCAAAGATGCCGTTTGTTTTTGTAAATAAAGATCAAGATACACAGTGTATCCAGTGTGTAAGTTGTTAGCATGTTATTACTTCTGCTTGATTGTACCACAAACTGAATTTTCATGAAAAGTGGTATAAATGTTTGTTTGTTTTTTTTGTGTGTAAATGTTTCAAAGCCATATGAAACTAACATGAACACTGCATCTGAAATCATGTACTCTCTTTGTAGGTAGTTATTTTGAACAAGTACTTACTTTGTGACCACTAAAAAGTATGGTGTGTATATAGTATGATTGTGTGTAGTATGAAAGTAATCCGGACGTACTACATTCGCCATGTTGTCATTATCATGTGACCTACCAGCGTCAGTTACGTTGCTTCACTGTCAATCACAAATCCTCTCCTGTTGCCTCATGGGATAGTAAAGTGTCCATCATATGCACACTTCAGAATTTCAGTGGAATAGTAGGGTAGTTTTTGCCTATTAGAACTAAATTCAGACATTGTCACATACTTTTGTTCACCTACTATATAAGTACGCAATTTCGGATCCTAGAACTTGACACGTGTATTTTAAAGTTTTTTTTTATTATTATTATCTTAACTTTAATGCCAACACCAATGATATGTTAGCAATCATTGTTAATTCTCATTTGAGTTCTGCCTGTTCCTAGCGAATAGCTCTTTTACAGTGTTCACATGGTTAAATGTGATTTATTGTTTCTGGTTTGTAATGTTGACCCTGATGACTGCAGTCTTTTCATTGACTTATATTATTCTGCATCTCTCACAAATCAGTTAGCTTAGTAAAAAGGTGTGTTGAGCACAGTCTGGTAATATCAATTTTCATGGTCAGTCAACTAAACTAGCAAATTCTGATTTAGGGTGTGTTCACACTTGTAATTCGGTTATCTTGGGTCTTTTGGTCCTGACCAAAAAAAGAAAATGATAGATTTAGTCCTGGTTCACTTCGCTTACCGGGCAATTCTTAGACTATGGGCACTTTCATGTCCTTTGATCATATTTTATAAAAAACATTTAATTCTGAAAAATTCGCACTTTCATAGTAAACTTTACAATGAAAGTACTTTAGGAACTTTTTACCGGGAGTCTACGATGATTTTTTCACCTTTTTAAACATCATTATTGATGCAAATATTGCTGTTTTGTGCTTGTCCCACACCCAGACTTCTGATCTTCATTAATGAAAAAGAAGTGTAAAAAATGATTTATCTATTCTTTTTTAAATATGACTGAATAAAGTATCAGTAAAATAATCAAAACATAATTGTGGTATTTGAGGTCAGACGACTATAAATGTGATTTTATATATATATACAAAATGTAGTTGTCCCACAGTATTGCCGTCATTTCCACCACAACGCTGTAATGTCCATTTTAAAAGGTTTTTTTGAAAGATTGTTTGGGTAGTTTTTATGGAGATGAACAATGACATCACAGCACATGTCTGACATGGAGGAGATTTTGAATTTCTTCACCAACTTGGTGAAGAAAACTCAAGGTAAATATTGCTTAAAATGAAAATATTTTTATTGTATGTCATTTCCAAAACATGGTGTAACATCAATTGAGTTTGTAAATAAATAGATTTTTGAACATAAATAGATGTAAATAGATGTATTTTGCATGCATGCAATGCTAGCTACCAATTCATAGCTAATCTGTAATGATAGCTTGGATTTTTTTTTACAAAATACTGCAGGATTGTCATTTCCACCCCATCATTTCCAACACATTACCTTCTTGGGTGGAAATGACAAAGGTGAGGTGGAAATGACATTTATGGTTACAAGGTGCAATTCATAGATTGTGTGGCTACATATGTATATTTTATTTATTGAAATGTACAATGCTAATGTATTTATTCAAATATATATTTGTTTTTCTACATGGACGTCCATTCATTGTCATTTCCACAACACCCAGTCATTTCCACCACCTCATAACTTTTTTAAAAATATGTACAAAATTCTAATCACTCATTAAAAACTTCTGCATAGTTTATGGGATAATGGTCCATTTAATGTAATAACACAAGTAGTTATTTTTCTAAAATGTATCTAACCAATCCAATATTATATTTCAGGTTGTGGTGGATGTAAGCTTTGTGTTTGGGCCTCATGACAATTAATTTACTTAACCCACAAATCTATGGTAATTGCAATATAGGTATAAACTGGTAAAACTATGTGTGAAAGTGGTCTTACACTGTTAAGAAATTATGTATATCATAATATTTTTAAATAATAATCAAATATGTACATGTGATGGAAATGACATTTGTTCAGTGCGGATCGGAAAATATGTCAAAAAACACCAATTTGTCTTATAATGTAAGTGTGTTCTCTTATGGATTATTAAACTAGACTAGTTATATTTAACTGTTAGACTGTGGCAATTTTGATTTGAACACTTTTTTCCCCCTCAAGTTTACAAGGCCAAAAGTGCCTGTAGTTGAAGAACCACCCTTCACACTGTCCTTTTTAACACCAAAGTTAAAGATACAAAAAAAAAAAAAAAACTTTTATGATGTATGCTATATTTTGCGACTGAACTTGTCGAACATCCAAAATAATGCTGTTTGCTGGGCTAAATGTGCTCGCTGTATGTGTGTAGGTATATGTGGTGGTATATGATGCAGCTGACAACTCATGAAAAGCTTATAAAATGTGTAAATTAGTCAAAATAGCAGCAGGAATCCCTCTGTCACACACACACACAAACGATCTGCTGTGAGGAAGCGCGGTTCTGAAGCCTGTGCTGCTGAACTGTGATAGGCAACATCGCGACTATGACAAGAAAAAAACATGCTTTTTAGGGTCACAACTTATGACATCATGTCCTGTTTTTAGTTCGTTTACATGTCATTGGTCCATATTACATTTATATTTTAGTCGAATCACACCAGAGTTAGTTTGTAAGTGGACTGAGGGATTGCTCACACTTGGCATGTTTGGTTTGATTAATTTAAAAAAAAAACGATGGCATGCAGCTTTTTTACATGCACACTTATTCAAATAAACCACACTGACAGAGCAATCACAGCCGAGTTCGTTTTAATCTAGCCTAACTAAACCTACCAAGTGTGAACACACCCTAATTTCTGACTAGGTCCAGTTTGTAAATGTAGGCGTATGTAAAATATATAGGCTACATACAGGTTATTATATAGCCTATACAAATCAATTTCATTATAAAGAGGAGAAAACAAAATGTAAAAATAACAGGACAAAAAAAATCATTTATACCTTTCACATATTGTATATTAGTATAATAAAAACATTTAAGAAGTGAGTGTTTCAAACGTTTTATGTTTGGAGTGTAGTTCAAATGTACCAAAATAAGTAAATAAAAACATCTTCATATTCCAATTATCTATCTGATATGCTACTATATTAACAGATTGATTCTTTGATCCTAAAGGACTGGGAAATATTAGTGTTGAAAAGATTGTGTAAAAAGCAGAGGCTGTCAAGCCACGCCTCCATATCATGACGCATCCTCAACTGTGGCGTGACGTCATTAGAAATGGCGGCATAGAATGATAAACATCCAAGCCGGAGATATCAAGTAGGAATGTCCCGTTTCTGACTTTCAATGGAACTCTTCTTTATTCCATATTCGAAAGTGCGTACATTATTTTAACTGCGTAACATTTACTTTTAGTGCGTATATAAGTATTAAGGCAAATGAACGAGACCAGTAAGTTATTCTTATTCTGAACGTAAAGACACACTTCGAAACAAGCAGGAACAAACAAAAGCTGAAATCTGTGACAAACTGTTGAAAGATGTCGTTTATTAAGGAGGAGAGTGAAGGTTATCCAAAAGCAAGCAGAATGAAAAATGAAGATTCAAAGGATAAAAGAGGTTTGTGAACATTCTTGATTCTCCACTAATGATTCCTGATAATAATTATGAATATTAAGGTAACATATCTTCAGAGAACTTGTCACTCATATGGGCTTGTGACAAAGTGCTGGTGTGCAGTTAATTTATTAAGCCTATATTTACCATAATAGAGTGTAAAATATTTTTCTTTTACAATAGCTTGAGTTACAGGGTTTAAAGATTGAGTAATAGTATGGTATTATTATTTAATTGGTGTGCTGAAGAAACGCTGTTTCAAACCATGTTACTTCTTGGGTGTTAAAATTATTATTATAATTTTTTTGGTTTCAGAAAATCATATGGTCTTGGTTATGCTCAAAATATGGGACAGAGTCTAATATTAGGTTTTTGGAAATGAAAGTTGTTTTTAATTGTTTCAATAATTACTTAAACATGTATTAGATAGATTATGCCAAAACAGTGAGACAGTAAAGGTGAGACAGACCAATATTAATGGGGTGGTAAAAAGACATATGAGGACGTGTATAATGTTAATAGCATATTTTTTTGTTAGATTATAGTTTATCAAACCAAACTGGGAAAATGACAAATAAGAGTGTCTAATGAAAAGGACACATGTGCCAAGTTCTTGTGGTTTTGAAAAACTATTTTTTCAAGAAAAATGTAATTTGGTGTAACCATCAAGCAAAAAAATAACAACATGTTCCTTGCACCTTGAATACAAACACATCTTAATATTGTCATTGACTCACTTATCTCACTTATGGTGCTTTTCCACTACACAGTACCAGCTCGACTCGACTCGGCTCGCCTTTGTTTGGTTTTCCACTTTCGGGTACTTTTTTTTTGTACCACCTCCAGTTCTGAGCGAGCTGAGGTGATACTAAAATATGACGTGAAAACAATGCCGACTGCTGATTGGTCAGAGAGAATCGTCACTATTCACTGCGTCATTATTGCACGCGCCAGATCAGATGGAGTATCCAGAATAACCCCGCCATTTTTAAATAGTTTGGCCAGAGATAGTTACTAAACTTACTACTATTATTATGGCAAATTTGATATCTAATATCAAAAACAGCATACACTCGATTTCCTCCATTGTCCTGTGTGTGTGGGTAGCGGATGTGTGTCGCGTATAAGATTAAGTCACGGCAGTTTCCTGCGGCGTCGCTATGACGACCGGGTACTATTTGTGGCGGTACTGTCTGCAATGAAAGCGAGCCGGTACTGGTAATGAAAAAGCGCCATTAATTTACCTCAGCCAGTTTACCAGATTCTGGAAGATGTAAATTTAAAGAAATTACTAGAAAAAAGACTGGCGCATTTAAAAATGCCCAATTAACATGAGCAACACAACTTTTATGATTGTAATGATGGTAGTATATAAAACAGATACCGGCTTATTGAATTTATTTTCATATTTCACCATGTTTAAATGATATTTACAAGTTTATATTGATTTTAGATCAACTGGAACTCAGAGGGGAACGTCAAGACCTGAATGAAGTGGAGGAGAAGCATCAGTATCAGAAACCTCATCATTTCGCAAGTGGAGAAAATGATACGAGCTGCTCGGAAACCGAACCGAATTCCTCACAAACATTAACAGAAGCCAACAAATCTTTCGCTTGCCCTCAGTGTGGAAAGAGATTAACTACTAAAGGAAACCTGAAGGCACACATGAGAATTCATACTGGAGGAAATCCTTTCAACTGCACTCAGTGTGAGAAGAGTTTCCCATTTATGGGAAGACTTAAAATGCACATGAGAAGTCACACTGGAGAAAAGCCGTTCACCTGCCCCCAGTGTGGAAACAGTTACCAATGTAAAACATACCTTAATCGGCACATGAGGATTCACAATGCGGAGAACCCTTTCTCCTGTGCGCAGTGTGGAAAGAGTTTTACTGCAAGACAAAACTTTAAACGTCACATGAGAATTCACACTGGAGAAAAGCCTTTCACCTGTTCTCACTGTAGGAAGAGTTTCCCATGTGAACAATATCTTAAAAGGCACATGAAAGTTCACACTGGAGAAAAGCCTTTCACCTGCTCCCTGTGTGGACAATGTTTCACAGTGAAAGGAAGCCTTAAGTATCACATGTCAATCCACACCGGAGAGAAACCATTCACATGCCCTCAGTGTGGAAAGAGTTTTAGACGTAGAGAAGCTTTCAAGACACACTTGAGAATTCATACTGGAGAAAAGCCGTTCAAATGCCGTCACTGCGAAGAGAGTTTCACGCATAAAGGAAGACTGCAGACGCACATGAGAATCCACACTGGGAAAAAGCCTTTCACGTGCCTCCAGTGCGGGAAAGGCTTCACGCGTAGAGGAACTTTTACTGCGCACATGAGAATCCACACTGGAGAGAAGCCGTTCACGTGTGAACAGTGTGGAGAGAGTTTCACACGTAAAGTAAGACTCAATACCCACATCAGAATCCACGCTGGAGAAAGACCTTTCTCATGCCAGCAGTGTGAGAAGAGTTTCACACGGGCAAGAGGACTGCAAAATCACACGTGCGCTCACTCTGTCTTGAACTGTGATGAGAGCGGCATGATTTTCACCTCAGCATCCGCCCTACAAACACACAGGGAGATTCATGAAAACGAGCCGTGCTCGCGTTCACTTTGGGAAACCCACCAGAAAGCACATATTGGTGTACGTGCTCATGTCTGCTTGGAATGCGGGAAGGGCTTTTTTAGTACCAGTGATTTGGAAAGGCACCAGAGAATCCATACTGGAGAAAGACCTTTCAAGTGCTCATATTGTGAAAAGTGTTTCACACAGTCAGGGAGCCTGACAACACATGAGAGGCTGCATACCGGAGAGAAGCCATTCCACTGCGCATCATGTGGCAAGAGTTTCAATCGGTTATATACTCTACAGATTCATGAAAGAATGCATTGCTCAGATTTGTCGCAGTGAGAAAGCTGCATGTAGTTTGCGAGTACGTGAATGGTATGTTTTTGATATCGCATTCAGAAAAACCTGACTATTTCTCCCCCAAAAATTACATCTGCATATGTGTGAAGGTAAACACATTTTATATAGTAATTACAGAAATATCTTAAAGCGACACTAAGTACGATTTTTTACCTTAAAATAATGTTTCCAAAATCGTTTCCAAACAGTTGATGGACCCCATTGACTTCCATAGTACTTTTATTTTATTTTTACTACGATGAAAGTCAATGGGGTCCATCAACTGTCTGCTTACCGACATTCTTCAAAATAACTTCCTTTGTGTTCAGCAGAAGAAAGAAATTCATTCAGGTTTGAAACAACTTGAGTAAATGATGACAGAATTTTCATTTTGAAGTGAACTATTCCTTTAATATTCAACAATATTATTAATGTGACTGTACTGACGCTGTTGTTTGAGAACTGAGCTGGACGATGGCATCATTTTTTTTAGAACTTCTTTATAGATGAAATGAACTAATTTCATAATTTATGATCTTTATAACGGATCTTCAGCTGAACAACAGCCAAAATGCATCATTTTTTCATCACTGTAAAGCTGCTTTGAAACAATCTGTATTGTATAAAGAGCTATATAAATAAATAAAAATATATAAAACGCTTCAACACGCATGTTTAGGCAACAATAAATTCAGAAATTATCTTTAACTCTCTGCGCTCGTGTGATGAGAGTTCTGATCCTGGTTCCAGTGGCCCTAATCCATGCCAGGCTTTTCAAAATGACACTAAGCACAGCCGTCACATAATAGTCTATTGTTTCAACATGAATTCTACAGCTGGCCAAGTTGAAGAAAAGTGAAAATGATTCAGAGCAGCATATCATCGTATTTTACCGGACCCTCACAAAAGAAATCCTAGAAATATTGGTTGCGTTTTGTGATTATTTTGTATGAAATATTGAAGTTTATTGCGAGTGGAGCTACGCATAGTTCTAAATAAAACTCTGGTTTTATGCTGGCATGTTAAATTACGCACTGGGATTTAAAAAAATTTCTCATAACAGCAGAAAGAACTTAAAATACTCTGTCATTTTTGGTCGTACAGATAAGAGTAAGACATCATTTGAAACTGTAAATCTTCTTTTATTTGTATACACTCACAACAATAACAACAAAATGTTGTTCTTTTGTAATATAAAGAAAACAAAAATGTGCTTTCTGCCGTCTCGATCTCCTTTCCGGAGCACGTCGCAAAAATGAACCGAAACTTAGCGTATACGTGCCTCAGCCACGCTAAGAATTATATCTATAAAAAGCTTGAAATGTGAAATTGAAATGAACCAATTCAAGTCGAAAACTAAAATTCTCTGATTATGTAATCCGTATGAAACCAACGAGCGGTACAGAGGCATCTGCGCTGCTTTTTTCACAAATCGTGCCCTGCATGACACATTTATGTAGCGCAAAATGTTTTTTCAAATATGAATATTTTAACAACTGTTTTCCCCCCTAAAAAATCACAAATAAAAGATTATGCCAAACTAATTTTCTTAAAAAAAAATAAAAAAAAAATCTCATTCTTTTAATGAGGCTTGTTTCTTCATTATGATTTCAGGACAGTTGTATCAACCAGCATTTTTCACCCTAAAAATATTTAATGAACTATTTCTGATGAGCAGAATCTGCTATTTAAAAAGTGCAATCAAAACGTCTCGAGTCACAAAATAGAAATAGTACATTTTCCTCAAAGGGGCTATATGCTTTTTTCTGAAATTTAAACTCGCGACTGACACCTGTGGCCAAAAAAAATCAGAACTGCTCTTCCTTTCTGCTCGCTCTTGCAGTTGTGAACTGAAAACAACACAGTGCTTTTCAATGAACAGTTTTATCACGTGTTACCTTTTCAGAAGAAAAAAAGCCATTTCTGGGTCACTTCGTATTCCCAACACAGATCTGAGCTCCCTCCAAGGCTCAAATGGGAAGCCGATGTTCACTCTAGTCCTTGCTCGGCGCCGGTCGCTCTCAATCTTCGATCTTTTTCGCCCACTTGTCAGGGGTTTAACTTTTTTAGTCTTCTGTGGAGTTACTGTTGGTGTCCGAGTTGTCCTGGGTCTCTTCTGTGTATTCACAAAATCCATTACACTGCTTGCGAGTGTAGGCTACTTGATGACTAGCGGTGGTGGCAGAGTGATCTGAAACGTTTAACATGAACGCGCTTGACGTCACATCCGCAGACAGCGCGGGAAAAATCCGACCCGACAGAAAATAGGAAAAATAGGATACAGGCTTATAGGTGCACCCACTGTGAGCGGACAAGGTGTCAGTATGCTCATCAGGAGATGTTTGAGTCATAAATGGTAAAAGGCTATCGTTACGTTTATTTTGGGGGAAAAGTTGCATATAGCCCCTTTAAAATGAAATGTGTTTCTTTTCACAATGTCAGAAGATTGATGTCATGCAAAGATTTTGTTTTTAAACTATCTTAACCCTGAATGTTTTTAGAAAAGATCTGATATATTTTGTTACCTTGTCCTTTTTTTACCAAGTGTTCACGTCAGGTCATTTTTGTCTCAAATTTTTTCAGAATGTTTGTTCACAATGTTACGCATAAAATCTGCTGCACATCGGAGGCCTTCTTTACTCATTCTGCAGGCAAACACTGACAAAATGAGATAAACTAGAGGAATGTTTAACTATTAAGAATGAATGATTTTCTTTTATGGATTAACACAGGGATGGCCAACATCGGTCCTGGAGGGCCAGTTCTGCAGAGTTTAGCTTCGACCATGATACAAACTCATGCCTTGCTTTCTAGTAATCCTGAAGACATTGATCAGCTTGAATTCATGTGTGTTTAGGGTTGGAGCTGAACTCTGCTGGATAGTGGCCCTCCGGGACCCAAGTTGGCCATCCAGTGCCAAGCTATTGTACGTTAGCAAAGATAAATCTTACTGATTTATTAGTGTTATGTCAGTGTAAATGTGATTTATGCTCTATGGATTGAGATTAGATTAACCTAGAATGAGATCTGGACTTTGATTTGTCCATTGCAAAATACTCTTTCATTCTTCCTATAGCTGTTTCTTAGTAAATTTGTACAAAACAAAACAAAAAACGTGTATGCAGCGAGTTATATAGACAGACCATATGGAGACAAACAAGTGAAGTATGTTTTTTCTGGCATTGTTTGCGAAGGCAAGTGGAAAAAATAGCATGTGGTGTGAAATATCACTTGTTGAACAAAGCCTCGGGATTGTGTTCATGCCAGGTGTGTTTGAGCTCAAAACCTGTGAATCTCTCCGTGTGAGAATGAGAGAGGGAGAAAAAGATGGCTGGTGGCACAGCAATATTAAGTAATATTACCTTGAGGATAATTGCTGTTTTTTTACTTTTTTAGCATTCATATGGTGCTTCATACTGGGTTTGATCTTTTGGCCAGATGAGAACTGCCTATGGCAATCTAATGGTTTTGTTGTTTGTCACTGTCACCTTTGGCTTGCTCAATTGGGATTTAAAAGACAATTAATATGAAAAAAACTGATGAACTCGGCACTGTTATTTGACTGAACTGACTTGATCTGAGTAATGACACTATTATCTTCTGTAGAGCTGCTTTACAACTGAAATTGTATTTTATTTTTTCATAATTGTTTCATTAGGGCTGTTATTTTATTGTTTATTACTGTGAAGCTGCTTTGAAACAATCTGTAAAGGGCTATATGAATAAAAAAAAAGCAAATGTAGTTTCCATTGTTTAAAACTTATTATTTTAGGGGGTTTTTTTTATAGTTGTTGTTTTTTAAATTACATACTTTTTATTTATTATGAATTGAAAATATATAAATGTATAGATAGTAGGGGTGGAACGGTACATGTATTCGTATTGAACCGAAACGGTACGGGCGTCACGGTTCGGTGCACGAATTTGCACGCAGAATACACGGTACAAATAAATAAAAAAAACCCTCTTAAATAGCGATAAATTTCGCTCTATTCGCTTTTGGTGTGACTGTTAACGCAGCAATGAACAGGCTGCGATCAAGATTGCAATGCAGGAGTGTGTGTGTCTGTGTGCGCGCGAGAGAGAGAGAGAGAGAGAGAGAGAGGCGCGATGAACAGTGTGTGTGTGTGTGCGAGAGAGAGAGAGGCGCGATCGAACAGTGTGTGTGTTTGTGCGCGCGCGTGCGAGAGAGAGAGAGGCGCGGGCGCGAATCGCGCGATGAACAGTGTGTGTGTGTGTGTGTGTGTGTGTGTGTGTGTGTGTGTGTGTGTGTGTGAGTGCGCGCGCGCGAGAGAGAGAGGCGCGGGCGCGAATCGCGCGATGAACAGTGTGTGTGTGTGTGTGTGCGCGCGCGCGTGCGAGAGAGAGAGAGAGGCGCGGGCGCGAATCGCGCGATGAACAGTGTGTGTGCGTGTGTGTGTGTGAGAGAGAGAGGCACGGGCGATCGAACAGTGGAAACGTAAAAACATACTCCGTCATTTTTTTCATACAGGACATCATTAAAACTGCAAATTGTTTACTTATATTTGTGTACACTGGCAATAAAACACA